GGGGAGTGAACAACCAAATGGAAGATCTCTCCCCCTTTTTCAAATAAATAAATCTTTAAAAAATAAAATCTCAACATCACTATCCATGAGTGAAATGCAAATCAAAGCCACAGTAAGATGCTACCTAACATTAGGATGGTTAATAAAAAACTCACATGTGGTGGTGAGGTAGCAACTGGAACCCTGTACATTGTTGGTTGGAATATAAAATAGTGCCACTGCCATGGAAAACTGCATTGTGACTTCCCAAAAATAAATAAATAAATAAAAGAATTACTACTTCTGGGAATACATGAAGGGACATGGAGTGACCAACACTGTGAAACAGTGTGTTAAGCCATCACCCAAGACACCAGCATCGCATACAGATACTGGTTCGAGTCCCAGCTGCTCTGCTTCTGATCCAGTTCCCTGCAAATGTGCCTGGGAAAGCAGCAGCAAATGGCCCAAATACTCACGTGAGAGATCCAGGTGGAGTTCAAGGCTCCTCGTTTCAACTTGGCCAAGCCATGTGCTATTGCAGTCAATTGGGGAGTGAGCTAATAGAAAAAAGCTCTCCCTCCATCACTCTTTCAAATAAATCTTGGAAGAAAAAAAAAACACATTTGTAAGTGGTATGTGCAATTTAGTCCATTCCTAAAGAACTGGGGGTCCTGGAGATTAAACCCTGTCAGTGCAGTCTTTTTTTAAATTACTAACTGCAGAAAAATGGGTTTCCTTAAGATTTCTTAAGATTTTGAAACAAAAAGTAAGTCAGAAGGAGCCAAGGCATGACAGTATGGTGGATGCCTAATGGCTTCTCACTGAAACTTTTGCAGAATTCCACTCATTTAATAACAGAATAAGAACACTGTTGTGGATGACTGTCCTCTGGAAACTTTTCCAAGTTTTTGCTAAAGCTTTGGCTTTTTCAAAATTCTAATAAAGTAGATGTTACTGTAATTTGGCCCGCCAGAAAGCCAACAAATAAAACGCCCTAAGCATTCCAAAAAAGTGTTGTCATAACCTTTGCTCTTCCACCTTTTGGTAGCCATTGCCTTAACCGTACTTTGCCTACAGGATCATACTTATGTTTCACGTCCTGTTCCAATCCTTCAAAGAAATGCTTCAGGAACTTGATCCTGTTTAAAAGTTCCATTGAAGTACTTGCTCTCCTCTACTGATAAAAAGTGCAACAGTATTAGCATCTATTGAACTGAGAGTTTGGTCAACTTTTCAAGTCAGTATTGTATAAGCTGAACCAACTGACATGTATTAGGTGTTGACTATCTCTTCCACTGTTAATCACCAATCCTTTTCTTTTTTTAAAAAAGATTTATTTATTTATTTTAAAGTCGTAGTTACACAGAGAGAGGAGAGGCAGAGACAGAGAGAAGTCTTCCATCCGATGGTTCACTCCCCAATTGGCCACAACAGCCAGAGCTACGCCGATCCAAAGCCAGAAGCCAGGAGCTTCCTCTGGTCTCCCACACGGTGTAGGAGCCCAAGGACTTGGGCCATCCTCCACTGCTTTCCCAGGCCACAGCAGAGAACTGGATCAGAAGAGGAGTAGCCAGGACTAGAACTGGCACCCATATGGGATGCCAGCACTTCAGGCCAGGGCATTAACCTGCTGCGCCACAGCACCAGCCCCCACCAATCCTTTTATTATTTAATAAATATAAATTTACAAAGTACAACTTTTTAATTGTTGTGGCTTTTTCCCCCATAACCTCCCTCCCACCCACAACCATTCCATCTCCCACTCTCTCCCATCTCATTCTTCATCAAGATTCATTTTCAATTATCTTTATATACAGAAGATCAATTTAGTATATACTAACTAAAGATTTCAACAGACTGCAGCAACACAGCCACACAAAATAGAGTACTGTTCGAGTAGTAGTTTTACCGTTAATTCTCATAGTACATACAACACATTAAGGACAAAGATCCTACATGGGGAGCAGGTACAAGTGACTCCCGTTGTTGATTTAAGAATTGACACTCTTATTTATGACGTCAGTAATCACCCGAGGTTCTTGTCATGAGCTGCCAAGGCTATGGAAGCCTTTTGAGTTCACCAACTCTGATCTTATTTAGACAAGGCCATATCAAAGTGGAAGTTCCTTCCTCCCTTCAGAGAAAGATACCTCCTCCTTCTCCGATGAACCACTCTTTCTGCTGGGATCTAATTCATGGAGATCTTTCATTTAGGTTTGTGGGTTTTTTGTTTTGTTTTGTTTTTGTTTTTTGTTTGTTTTTGCCACAGTGTCTTGGCTTTCTAGGCCTGCAAAACTCTCATGGGCCTTTTAGCCAGATCTGAATGCCTTAAGGGCTGATTGAGGCTGCAGTGCTGTTTAGGGCATTTGCCATTCTATGAGTCTGCTATATATCCTGCTTCCCCTGTAGGATCATTCTCTCCTTTTTAATTCTATCATTCATTATTTGCAGATACTAATCTTATTTTTGTAATCTCTGACACTTAATCTTTTTGATCAATTATGCACTTAAACTTATTTTTTTTTTTTTTTTTTTTTTTTGGACAGGCAGAGTGGACAGTGAGAGAGACAGAGAAAGGTCTTTTGCCGTTGGTTCACCCTCCAATGGCTGCCACAGCTGGTGCGCTGTGACCGGCGCACCGTGCTGATCCGATGGCAGGAGCCAGGTGCTTCTCCTGGTCTCCCATGGAGTACAGGGCCCAAGCACTTGGGCCATCCTCCACTGCCTTCCCTGGCCACAGCAGAGAGCTGGCCTGGAAGAGGGGCAACCGGGAAAGAATCCGGCACCCCAACCGGGACTAGAACCCGGTGTGCCGGCACTGCTAGGTGGAGGATTAGCCTACTGAGCCACGGTGCCAGCCAACTGATCACTTTAACAAGTAATATGGCATTGGTACATGCCACCTTGATGGAATTGAATTGGAATCCCCTGGCACATTTCTAGCTCTACCACTGGAGGTAAGTCGGAGTGAGAATGTGCCAAACCATATATCTCCTCCCTCTCTTATTCCCACTCTTGTATTTAACAGAGATCACTTTTCAGTTAATTTTAAATGCCTAAGAATAATTATGTATTAAAGTGTTCAACCAATGGTATTATACTAAAAGAAATAAAAAAGTAAGTTGTTCCTCGACAGTCAAGACAAGGGCTGATCAAGTCATTGTTTCTCATAGGTGTCCATTTCACTCCAACAGGTTGCCTTTTAGGTGCTCAATTAGTTGTCACCAATCAGGGAGAACATACATTTGTCCCTTTTGGACTGGCTTATTTCACTCAGCATGTTTTCCAAATTCCTCCATTTTGTTGCAAATGACCGGATTTCATTTTTTTTTTTTTTACTGCTGTACAGTATTCTATAGAGTATATATCCCATAATTTCTTTATCCAGTCATCTGTTGATGGGCATTTGGGTTGATTCCACATCTTAGCTATTGAGAACTGAGCTGCAATAAACATTGAGGTGCAGACATCTCTTTTTTTCCAGTTTAATTCCCTTCTCCACCAATCCTTTTCAATTAGGGCATGAACAAGATAAATTTTCTCCTCATAAATGGATGTGGATTATCTACTCCTGCAGATTTCATCTTCAGCTTCTTAAAACTAGCTATCCATTTGTAAACTGCTGACTTCTTTGGGACACTGCAACCATAAACTTTTAGTGAAGTATCATAGAATATGCCACTCTTTCACTTAAGCTACACCATAAATTTTATATTTGTTCTTGCTTCAGTTTTAGCAGAATTCATGCTGCTCTGATGGGGGCTCTTTTCAAACTAATGTCTTACCCTTCTTATTGCCTCAAACTGGATCCTGTTTAGATGCACTGTAACTACTTACTTTCATTTAAAAAAAAAAAAGTCAAAGGCCACAGCTCTTTCATAGTATCCATTTTCCAGACTTCCTGAAGATTCCCAACTTTTTTTGAAGGATTCAAATACATACTTCTGTAACAATGTTAACAGCATTATTCACAATATTCAAAAGATGGAAACTTAAATATCCAAATGAACAAAATGTGACCTATATATGTATGTACGTATTGCATGTGTGTACATGTGTAGCAATATTCAGTCTTAAACAGGAAGTTTTAAACAAGCTGCAACATGGATGAACCTTGAAGACATTACAGTGAAATGAACCATAGAGAAAAATTAAACTATTCCATCAGGAACTACAGTAGTTATATGAATAATGTCAGAAATAGGAATGGAAGGTGCCAGGTGCAGGGGGGAAGAAGTTATTTAGTGGGCACAGCTTCAGTTTAGCATTGTTGATAGAATCAGTCTCTTCACTTAGGTTACTGACAAATAACCAGGGAGTTGCTCAGAGAAAAAAAAAAAAAACCTCTATGTATGTGTGACAAATAAAGGAGACAGTAGGAAGTTGCAGTTCCCCCAAAGAAACTGCCTCCCTGAAGAGCCTGCCCAGATGTTCACAGCCAGAGTCAGGGAAGTGTCCAGGATACAGGAAGGGGGCAGGAAAGCCCTGACTCTTCCTGCCAGTAACAAATAAACAAGGTACAAAGGAACATTCTGTTCAAGCAATATATACTTTCATATACTTTATATTCAAAAATCTAACTCCAACTAGTGCCTTGCAGCTCTCCTCCCCTTGCCTGTGCTGGTCTGGCACTAAGTACAGTGCTGCAAAGTTGCCTTCCTTTTCTCTGAAAAACAAGCTCAAGCAAGAAACTGAGATGGATGGTGGTGATGGTCCCATAGCGATATAAATATTATTTCACTGAAACATACTTATTTTAAGATTTATTTGAAAGAGCAACAGGAGAGGAGAGAGTTCTCCCATTCACTGGTTCACTTCCCGAAATGGCCTCAACAGCCCGGGCTGGTCCAGGTCAAAGTCAGGAGTCCTACCTCCATCCAGATCTCCCACATGGGTGGCAGGGGCCCAAGTACTTGAACCATCTTCCACTGCTTTCCCAGGCTTATCAGCAGGGAGCTGGATTGGAAGCAGAGCAGCCAGGACTCAATCCAACATGGCATACCATCATCATAAACAATGGCTTATCCCACTGCACCACAATGCCAGCCCTCAAAGCATAAACTCAAAATGATAAATTGTATATTTTACAACTGAAAAAGGTATATGAATTACAAAGAAGTAAAATTATTTTTATTCAGAGATGACATATTCATGGATGTAGAAAATGCAGCTACCAGAATAAATAACTGAATTTGGTAAGGGGACAAGATACAAGATCAATTATACAAAAATCAAATGTATGTCTATATAATATAGCAAACAAATTAACACGTTTTAAATACTTTCATAACGTAAAAAAAAAAAAAATGGGATGGGCACTTAGCCTAGTGCTTAAGACACATGCCACGATCTGCAATGCTAGCATCCCATAAGCACTGGTTCAAGTCCAGGCTGTTCCACTTCTGATCCAGCTCCCTGCTTGCATGTGGGAAAGCAGTAGCAAGACAGCCCAAGTACTTGGGCCTCTGCCACCCACATGGGAAACCTGGATGAAGCTCCTGGCTGCAGCCTGGCCTTGCAGCCATTTAGGGAGTGAAACAGCAGATGGAAAATATATCTCCCACACCCTGCCCAACTCTGCCTTTCAAATAAATAAATCTTTTTAAAAGGGGGGGGGGTGGAAAGAAGAGAGGGGAAGGGAGGAAGGAAATAGAGAGAGAGAGAGAGAGAGAGAGGGATAAAGAAAGAGAAAGGAAGGAAGGGAGGGAGGGAGAGAGAGGGAGGGGAGCTCCACAGTAGTCCTGAATTTGTACACCTGGGTTTGACATGAGGCTCCAGCTTCTGACCCCAATTTCCTAATGCAGAGCCTGGGAGGGCAGCAATAACAGCTCAAGTGATTGGGTCTGACATCTAGGTGGGAAACCTGCACTGAGTTCCTGGCTTCTGGCTTCGTGGGTATTTGGAGAGTGAAACCATGAATGGGAGTTTTTCTTTCTAACTCTGAACAATTCTTTTTTAATTTTTAATGTTCTACCAAGGGATAAATTTAACCAAACACATGCAAGAAGTACTCTCAAAATGCAACACTTTGATGAGAAAACAAAAATATAGAGAATTAAACCATGCTTGTGATAATGAAGACTCAATATTGTTTAAACACCAATTCTCCTCAAATTGATCAACAAGTCAGTCCCAATTAACGTATTATAGTCCTTCATGTGAAATGTAAAATAATAAGGTTTCTACAACACAGGAGAATATCTTCAAAAACTCAGTGTAGAAAAAACATTCAGAACACAATCATTAAGAAAAAAATGAGCAGCCAGCATTGTGGCACAGCAAGTTCGGATGCCAGCTTCCCAAATCTGACAGCTGGTTCAAGTCTTGACTGTTCTGTTCCTAATCCAATTCATCGGTAATGTGCCTGGGAAAGCAGTAACAGCCCAATTAATAGGCCCCCAGATACCGACATGGGTGACCCAGTGGAGTTCCTGGCTCCTGTCTTCAAGCCTGGTCCAGCACCAGTGGTTGCAGCCATCTGGGGAAGTGAACCATCAGATGGAAGATCTCTGTCTCTCCCTGTCACTCTACACATAAATCTTAAAAAGAAAAGAAAAATGAAAATACTGAAAACACAAACTGAGCTACATTAAAATTAAGGGTTTTTGTCTTTTGTTTTTTGAGATGGAGACATAGCTCCCATCCACTGGTTCACTCTCAAATGCCTACAACAGCTAGGGCTAAGTCAAACCAGTGCCAGGAGCAGGCAACTCTACCTAGATCTACCACATGGGTGGTAAGGACCCTACCACTTGAGACATTACCTGCTGCCTCTCAAGATGAGCATTAGCAGGAAGCTGGAATCAGAGGCAAAGCTGGGACTCAAACCCAGCAGTCTGATATGGGATCTAATCATGGTTTAATCACTAGCTCAAACACCCAGCCCAGCCACTGTCAATCAAATAAAAAAGCAAGACAGAGTGGGAAAAATAGAGATTTAAACACAACATTTGTAAATAACAACTCACTTCCATTCAAAGAATTCTTAGGATTCTGCAAACAGATGACCCAAAGGAAAAAAAACATACAAACACCTTGAATACACTTCACAAAAACAGATATACAAGAAGTCATCAAAGGAAATGTAAATTGTAGTCTCAACCAGATACCACTAAACACTCATCAAGATAACTAAATTTTTCTTTAATTGGCATTATCTAGGGTCAACAAGGTATGGAAACCAAAGTCTTATACATTATAGGCTGGAATATAAACAGTATAATCACTTTGGAAAACATTTTCTCAACAACTAAAGTTGAATAAAGGCATACTTATGACCCATCCATTTCAATAAAACAGCAAAATGGGTACATGCAAAATGTGTTAGTTTAGCAGACCTACTAACAAAGCACAGTAATCTGGGTGGATTAAAACAAGTTTATTGTCAAAGTTCTGGAGGCAGGAAGTTCAAAATCAAGGTGCTGGCAAAGCCGTATCTCCTCTGAAACCTGCAGAATTCTTCCTCGCTTCTTCTTAGAATCTGATTTGCTGGGAAGACAGCATTCCCTGGCTTGTAGATGTATCACTTGAACTGTCCATCTTCACATGGTAGCCTCCCTTGTCTCTTCACATGACTTTCTTTTTATAAACACCTCAGTAATATCAGAGACCCACCCTACTCCATCATGGCCTCACTCTAACTAGTAGCATCCACAATAGGCCTATTTCCAATTAAAGTTACACTGTGAAGTACTGGAGATTTGTAGGATTAGGATTTCTATATACTTTGGGTTGGGATGGGAATCAATTCAGCCAGCAACACACACCAAAACACACATACGATATTCACAAAATTGGAATATTCATAATATGTCCTATAACAAGTTCATAAAAGTTGCAAAAGCAATTTTAGTAGTCATCAAAACCACAAACGATCCAAATGTCAATCACCATTAAAAGTCACAATGTTCTTTTTGTGAAGATTTATTTATTTATTTGAAAGGCAGAGTTACATAGAGAAAGGGAGAGACAGAAAGAGGTCTTCCATCTGCTGGTTCACTTCCCAAATGGCTGCAACACCCAGGTCTGGGCCAGGCCGAAGCCAGGAGCCTGAAACTCCATCTGGATCTCCCACATCAGGGAAGGGGCCCAAGCAACTGGGCCATCTTCTGCTGCTTTCCGAGGCACATTACAGGGAGCTGGATCAGAAGAGCAGCCAGAACTCAATCAGCACCCATATGGGATGTTGGTATTGCAGGTTGAGGCTTAACCCACTGTGCCACAACACAGGCCCCAAAAGTTGTAATGTTTGTATAATGCAATACAGCACAGATATTTTCAGTTGTTAAATAAAACTGTAAAGACAAGTGATTACCATAAAACTGAGGACAAAAGTGACTTCAGATTAGAAGGACAAGTACTGTATTTAGGAGGGGTATGAAGGAGCCTCTAAAGTACGGACAACATTCAATTCCTTTTTTTTTTTTTTTAAGGTCCATATGGTATAATTCATTCTATTTACTTATTTTTTTGAAAGGCAGAGAGACAAAGACAAAGACAAACCCACAGAGATCTTCCATCCACTGGTTCATTTCCCAAATGCCTGCAACAGCCAGGAGCCAAGAATCCAATCCAAGCTTCCCAAGGTACACATTAACAGGATGCTAGAATCTGAAGCAGAGACTCAACTAAAATCCAAGCACTCTAGTATGGGACACAGGCATCCCAAGTAGGATCTTAACCACTGTGCACCTCCCCCCTTTTATTACATTTTCATTTTATTTGAAAGAGACATAGAAAGACCTTCCATCTACTAGTTCACTCCCCAAATGCCTGCAACAGAGAGGGCTGGGTCAAGACAAAGCCAGGAGCACAGAACTCATCCTGGATCTCCCATGTGGGTGGCAGGGATCCAACTACTTGACCCATCATCTACTGCATTCCATGGTACATAATAGCAGGAAACTGGAATCAAAAGAAACCAGGACTCAAACCCAGGTACTCCTGTATGGGATGCAGGTATCCTAAGTGGCGTCTTCACTGCTGTGCTATACACCTGGCCTAATGCTCAATTTCTTAATCCTCATAGTGAGTTACATGGGTACAATTTTTACCCAATTACCTTTTATACTTTTATGTATTTTACAATAATTTAGCTGAAAGGAAAGGAGCTTTGACAGAAAAAAAGGAAAAAGAGTTGGGAAAATACTTGTAAGTATGACAAACAAGGAGTTAATATTTTTCACACTGAAATAACTAAAAAATTAGCAAATTACAAAAGTTTATATAATATGCTACCTTCTTTGTAAGAAAAGGAAATAAGAAAATATATGCTCATTTGTGCAAAAAGAAATACAGTGAAGGTGGGGCCAATGCTGTGGTGTTAACGGGTAAACCGCTATATGCAGTGCCGGCATCCCATATGGGCGCCAGTTTGAGACCCAGCAGCTCCACTTCTAATCCAGCTCTCTGCTATGGCCTGGGAAAGCAGTGGAAGATGGCCCAAGTCCTTGGGCCCCTGCACACATGTGGGAGACCCAGAGGAAGCTCCTGGCTCCTAGCCCCGGATCAGCACAGCTCCAGCCGTTGCAGCAAACTGGGGAGTGAACCAGTGGATAGAAGACCTCTCTCTGTCTCTCCTTTCTCTGTGTAACTCTGACTTTCAAATAAATAAGTATATCTTAAAAAAAAAAAAATACAGTAAAGGTAAACTAGAGACTAATTAGGTTAGGTATCCTGAAAAAATAAGTGGCAATGAGGCGGAAAGCAAAAAAGCAAAGATATGGGGAGGAAGAGGTATTAAACTTAAAATCTCTTTTGGACAGTTCTGACATTGAAAATCATGTTAATATTTCACACATCCCAAAACATGAAAAGGAAACCATATGAATGGAATTTCAAACAAAAACAAATGAAATGAACCTTCTAATAAACTAACAACCACCTTGACAAGGGGAAAAAAAATTAACCCAAATAACTTTTTAATACAGTACTGAACTATGTCTTTAGGCTAAAGACCAAAAGAACTCTAAGCAAATACTAAACTCTAATTAAAAGATTCTTTTCTACAGAGGCATAGTTCAGAAATTCTAAAATTACATTTTACTTAGGATTAAGCAAATAAGTAAACATACTGTGCATAAAGGGAACCTGAACTCTCATCAACTTGCAAAAGTTACCAATACAGAAAAGAAGAGTGAACTCAAATTATAAATAGCAGAGTGAATTGATGCTTGTTAACAGTCACACAGATGTGTATAGAAATATAACATGTTCATTTATACACACAGAAGTATGTGTATATCTGCTAGGATCTAGAAGCAACAACATCTCAGTAGCAATGAGCGTACCCAAAACAGAGACCTTGGTCTCCAAATGCTATTCTCCACTAAAATCAAGAAGGATCCTTAGAGAAATGGCTGGCTCCAGGGTTATGACAAATCTTGAATATCTTACTGTGCTAAAGCACAAAGAAAACATTCAGTAAATGATGGGGTCATATCCAAAGGACACAGGAATCAGGTAGGAGCTCCCATCGGCCCAATTTTTGACAATTTGAGCATCAATGCAAATAATGATAGTACAGAAATGTGATCCATTGAATAACACATAAAACAAGAATCTAGGAGTACACAGTGATATAGACAAGTATTTATATTACCAAAGCCAACAAACATCAAAAAAAAAAAAAAAAAAAAAAAATACTGGAGGAACCAGTACTGTGGCATAGAGGGTTAAAGAGAAAGCAAATGCCTGTGATGCCAGCATCCCTTAAGGGTGCCAATTCACAGTTCAGCTGCTCCACTTAGATCCAGCTCCCTGCTAACAGCCTGGGAAAGCAGAAGATAGCCCAAGTCCTTGGGCCCCTGAACCCATGTGGGAGACCCAGAAGAAGCTTCTGGCTCCTGGCTTTGGCCTGGCACAGACCCGGCTGCTGCGGCCACCTGGAAAGTGATGGAAGATCTCTATCTGCCTCTTCTTCTCCCTCTCTTTTACTCTTTCAAATAAATAAATCTTTAAAAAAAAAAAAAAAAAGAAGAATGGAATTAGAGACTCACTATTTGGGAACATCACAATAATGACTGAGGACTGAGGCAAGATCTACCAATGGAAAACTAGTGGGCAAAAGTTCGAGGAATAGCAAGATATATTTATCAGAATGTTTTTAACTTACAAAAGGAAAAGTAACTTTACAATGGAGCAACCTGACAGACTACCTTAACAAAGTGATCACCATTAAATTAACATCACCAGAAAATGAGGAAAATGGATAGCAGGTGCCCCCCAGAGTATCTTTCCTGTGGTATTACCAAGAAAAGTCCGTGAGTTAAGAATTTAAAATATTAAACAAACTAAAATTGAGAGACATTTAACAACATAATTAGTCTGAACTCTTAAATATTACTGTTATGAAAAATAAAGATTAACGAATTGTTCCAGATTAAAGAAGACTAACAACTAAAGATACAGAAAACCTGAATTGAGTGCATAATTTTCTTTTGTAAACATTACTGTCACCATTGGCAAAAGTATATGAGAGAATAAACAGCAAATGACAGCAAGTCTTAGAGGGAGACAGAAGGAAACTAAAGGAGAAAATACGATAAACATTAATATATGAGAAGTTGGGGTAAAAGGGACATAGAAATTCTTTGTAATAGCCTTACAACTTTTCTGCATACCTAAAATTATATCCAAAAAGTTAAAACAAAAATCTCACACAATACATATAAAAATGCACAGAAAATCAAATATTACATAAAACAAAAAAGATAAGAAACTGGTCAGCCTCTTTAAACAACGTAACATTATGTTGTACTGCTACTTAATCAGCACTAAAAACATAAATGACAATACTCAGTGGTATTCACATTCCAGGACTGAGTGGCCCATTAGTCTGGCAGCTAACAAAGACGGAGGCTGGCAATGACAGAGCACGTGCAGAGGCGTCATCACAAGGAGAGCCAGGGAAGGAGCTGGATTCTCCATTCCCAGGTGTCTGTTTATGGCAGGGGACCCACCTCAGCAACTTAATCCAATCTAATCATGCCCCAAGGCCCCGCCTTCAGCAATCACAACTGGATAAAGTCTCTACCCTCAACCCATGAATGTTTAACATTAAGCCATCAACATGAAAGCTTAAGGACCAAGTCCCTAACAGAAGGGTCTTCAGAGAACACCCGAACTGTAGCAACCTTTTTTATGCTTTGCCATTTGACTGGTAACTTGTGCAACCCTTCTGAGAGCAACTTAGCATATGGACTAAGAACAATAAAAACATACAGATTATGACCACTGGAATTCTATGCTTAACCAAATCAATACCAAATATTGAAAAGGTTATTACACACAAATGTAACAGCTACAATCTGCTTTTAAATAATGCAAATAGGGAAAAACTCAAATATAACACAGGAAAAAGTTTTTTTAAGATTTATTTATTTATTTATTTTAAAGTCAGAGTTACACAGAGAGAGGAGAGGCAGAGAGAGACAGGGAGAGAGGAAGAGAGACAGAGAGGTCTTCCATCCTCTGGTTCACTCCCCAGTTTGCTGCAACAGCTGGAGCTGTACCAATTCGAAGCCAGGAGCCAGGAGCCAGGAGCTTCTTCAGGTCTCCCATGCAGGTGCAGAGGCCCAAGGACTTGGGCCATCTTCTACTGCTTTCCCAGGCCATAGCAGAGAGCTGGATCGGAAGTGGAGCAGCCAGGTCTCGAACCAGTGCCCATATGGGATGCAGGCATTGCAGGCAGTGGCTCTACCCACTGCGCCACAGCGCCAGCCCAGGAAAAGTTTTTAAAATTTGAGATATAATCACCTATAGGAATTATTTATTCACTAAAATACATAACCCATAAAAAACTAACATAGGGAAATTCTTACAATATATATAGCAATGAAATAAAATTTTATGAACAAACTAATTTAAAATGAAGGTTTAAAAAGTATTCACACACTGAAAAATATGCCTAAAAGAAGAGTCACAGGGCCAGCGCTGTGGCACAGCAGGTTAAAGCCCTAGCCTGCAGTGTCGACATCCCATTTGGGCACCGGTTTGAGTCCCAGCTGCTCCACTTCCAATCCAGCTCTCTGCTATGGGCTAGGAAGGCAATGGAAGATGGCCCAGGTCCTTGGGCCCCTTTACCTATATGGAAGACCCAGAAGAGGCTCCTGACTCCTGTCTTTAGATCAGCTCAGCTCTGGCTGTTTCAGTCATTTGGAGAGTGAACCAGTGGAATGGAAGCTCTCTTCCCCCCCACCCACCCCCCACCCCTCTCTCTGGCTTTACCTCTCTGTTACTGTCTTTCAAATAAATAAAATAATTCTTAAAAATAAATAAATAAATCTCCTAAAAAAAAAGAACAGAAAAGTCCCAACACTTTTAAGGTATTTATAGTAGGGTGACGTAGATAAAGTTTTCCACCTATCTTCCAAACTGTATCTGTTTTTCTTTTAACACTAAAGAATATCCAACTTATAATAAAGGAAATATGATTAGTTACTACTTGTAAAATTAATCCATGGTATCTTCAAAGTGTATTGGGAAAAACTTAAAATCAATAAAGGAAAAATATCATGATAAGCATTATATATACAAATACCTTTATTTTGTCTTAAGGGAAAAATATATTCACACAGAAAGCAAAATGAGAATATACTCTTTCTTAAACAAGTCCGTTCCAGATAAATGACAGGGTTGTAAAAGGACCTTAAAGCTCAAAGCCTTCCACAGTACTGAGGTATAACAGATAAGGAGTCTTGCAAACTTCTATTGTCCAATACTCACTGAAGTCTCATTCGTTTCTCAGGGGGGCCTTTAGTGCTCACTGTCTGTTGGACATTCTTTGTAGTCTCCTTCTCCTCAGATTTTACAGTTTCTGGTACAGGTTCTGCCTCTTTCTTTGACTGATCCACTAGACAACAAAAGCAGAATTTTTTTTTGGAGGGAGGGTAGAAGAATGAGATAAATTTAGAGAAAGGTTTATATGAATGGTTTACTCTTTCAAAATTATTTTAAACTGCTTATCTCAAGTTCTAACTTTAGCTGTTTCTTCAGACAGATGTAAGAATCCAGTTATAAATCTAACAACCTGTTAATGTACAAAAATTTCTGATACTGGGGGAAAAAAGACATATGGCATTTAAATTAGACATTATTTATAAACAAGATACCCAATTATTCTATCCCATTAACAACACCTGTTTTCCATGATGAACTATTTTTTTTTCATACTGAGATCTGAACTAAAAACAATCTACTTAACACTTACTTTTCACTCAAATTCAGCTATTAAAAATCAGTATCACAATCATAATATATCCCTTGTTGGCAATTCAGTGAATCTCAAAGGTTAAGAGTGCCTAACTACAATGAGACAATCTAAAAGGAAAGTGACCATAGCTCATCTCCCAGGAATAGCTGTTACTGAGATAAACAGGTTAATTAGTCTTATTTCAATAGATTAATATCAGATGAACCATACCTGGGACAGGCTTTTCTCCAGACTTTTGCTATAATTTTTTAAAAGTAGAGGAAAATGGGAGAAGAAAAAGGCAACAGGTTAGATCAGAAAAATTTTTTTTACTTCATAATTTATTAAAATAATACGTTACCCAAATTACATTATATATGACTTTAAAAACTACAACTCATGTCCACAAAAAATTTTTTTCATTTTCCAATTAGCCTTCATTCCAGAAAAGATGCAAACCTAAAACTAGAACAGTCAACCATAAAAATCTTTGAACATCCAACAAAGACCTCTATCTCTGAACAAAGGCTACAGTGCTTTACACAGAGTAGCTACATAGAATCGAATGGAAGGAAAAACTGGAACTTTACAAGACCCCAGAGGCTTCTCAGCTTAGGGGACGTGAATTTTAAGAGAACAACATTTTGAACCCTCCAACTTTTCAAGATGGTAGGTATAAAAAAATAAGGAGGAAGAAAGATATTTTCTTATGAGCATAAAAGGAAAAACTGACAGGGGCATCAGAGGTCAGAAATAAGGTCAAGGCCTGCACTCTGTACAGCAATTTCCTTGACTGGACCTTGTCACCTCACTTGTTCATCACCCAAGTTAAAAGCTTTAAAATACCCGCTTCCCCCTTCCCAAGGCTTACAACCTAACACCTACTCTCAATCCATGATCCTCTGCCTCCCAGGTTTAAAAACAAGATGCCAATACCATGGACTTTCTTTCAACCTACCTTCAAATTTATTATACCTTTACATACATAAAGACAATGCACACACACACATATATTTATATATATGCATGTATACATATATATGCATTTTAATTTTTTAAAATTTACTTATTTATTTGGGAGACAGACAGAGCTCCTATCCACTGGTTTATTCCCCAAATGCAGGTGACCACTGTGGCTGGACCAAGCCTGAAGCCAAGAGCTGGAAATTCAGTTCAGGTCTTCTTGTGGGTGGCAGGAACCAATTACTTGAGCCATCACCACTATCTCCCCAGGTCGGTGTTTGCAGGAAGCTCAGGTCAAGAGCCAAAGCCAGAAACTGAACCTAGGTTCATGCCAATGTGGGATGTGAGATCTGGATACATTAGGCTAAATGCCCACTCCTCAATACATTTTTTTTAAGATTTACTTTATTTATTTGAAAGGCAGAGTTAGAGAGAGGGAGAGGGAAAGACAAAGAGAAAGCGAGGTCTTCCATCCGCTGGTTCACTCCCCAAATGGCTGCAGTGACGGGGCTGGGCCAGGCTGAAGACAGGAGCCCAAGGACTTGGGCCACCCTTCCCTGGCTTTCCCAGGCACATTAACAGGGAGCTGGATTGGAAGTGTAGCACCCAGAACTTGAACCATAAACCATAAGGGATGCCGGCACTGCAGGTGGCAGCTTAACTCACTACACCACAGCACAGGCTCCTCCCCTTATACAATTAAAATACTCATAGAGCTCCATGTCACTTCAGAAGAAAGAAGTTAATTCCTTCATTTCTAGAGTTAAGGACTCCCATCTGTTTGCTGAATTTCTTTCAGAATTTAGATGCCCAAGCTAAGCTTTCTTACCTATTCCCATGAATAAAGACTTCAAAATTATCTCCTATTAGACGTTCCAGATTCATGCTGCCAATGCCTAAGGACACTTAAGACCAGAACTGAGCTCCATACTATTATTCACTGTGCAGAAGAGGGTAACACAGAAACTCCAAGGCTCTTTTCCTCAGAAAAGCCTACTTGCAAGGCTGGCCCTTGGCTCTTACCTAGGAACTTGAATTTTGGGAAGGTTCCCACAATTCCCTGATAACAGTGGCTCACTGTGCCTAGACTATCTAATGAACATGGTTTACGATGAATGTTTGCTTCCCTTCAGGGACTGTACAATTTTAGTATATATTAAAAGGTACCTATATGACAAATCCCCCTTCCTCAAAAAAACTCAGGCACTCATTCACTAATGGATTTCCTTGGACAGAAACATCATATACCTATTGCTGTGTTTTTGTTGTTGAAGGAAAAGTAGATTCTGTGTAGCCTTCATGGAAACAGAACATATAAGGAAGTCTGCACAAAGAGAAATCTTCCAGACTCCACCTGTGCCTTTTTCCCTTTCAGTCTGGCTGTAGACCCTTAGTGTATCACAAAAATAAATCTTAGAGTACAACTATTTGAATTCTATGAGCTCTACTAGCAATCTCCACACAGGAGTGTGATCATGGGAACCACTAACGGCCACATCATGTCCTGTGAAAATATCTGGTTTTAAGTATTATACAGGGATTATACAGTATTATAAGGGAATTATAAGAGAATAAGTAATTTCTCCTATGTAGAAAAGTGGGGGGAGCCAGACATTAGGCTTAGCACTTAAAATGAAGGTTTAGATACCCACAGTCCTACACTGAAGTGCCTGGGTTTAGTCCTGGCTTCTCTCACCATTCCAGCTTCCTGCTAACGTATACACTAGGTGGCAGCAGGTGATGCCTCAAGTACTTGGGTTCCTGCCATCCATGTAGGAAATGTGAATTGAGTTCCTGGTTCCCAATGGCCAGAGGCTGCTGCAGGCATCTGGGTAATGAGTAAGCACATTTGAGCATGTTCTCTTTCTCCTTCTTTGTGTGTGTTTGAGTGCATATTCTCTGTGTGTCATCCTTCTAAAAATAAAATAGAGCAAATGCATGCAATAACGCTGAGGGGAGAGGGATTTTTATATGGCTAGCACTGAACTATGTGGAACACTAGGATGATGTCATTACCTACCTAACATACATGACTAATCTTCTCTGACGAATAATGTCAAATTAGTAGGATATGGCTTAAGATAGGGAAAGAGAATGGGCTGGCATACCTTTCTGACCAAATTTAATTAGGACGTCCATCTTGGGATAAACCTAGCTAAAGTCACAGCGCCGGCATCCCATATGGGCACTGGTTCATATCCCGGCTGCTCCACTTCTGATCCAGCTCTCTGCTATGGCCTGGGAAAGCAGTGGAAGATGGCCCAAGTTCTTGAGCCCCTCTACCTGCGTGTGAGACCCAGAAGAAGCTCCTGGCACCTGGCTCCTGGCTTCAGATCAACTCAGCTCTGGCTGTTGTGGCCATTTGGGGAAAGAAGCAGAGGATTAAAGGCTTTTCTCTCTCTGCTTCTGCCTCTCTGTAACTCTGTCATTCAAACAAATAAATAAATCTTTAAAAAAGAAGTCACATCCTATAGTGTTCTACACTATACATATACACACAGTCAATGAATGGTTAACTACACCTAACCTCTCAAATTCCATAGTGGTGACTCATGATGCGTTTGTTCATTCAGCAGACACTGTTCCATCCTTAAGTGTAACTTCTGAGATTTCCCCAAACTGGCTTTCTGCCCAGTGTTCTAACTTGTGTCCTTGCTTCCTTCAATAACACATCACCGTTCCAATAGCACATACCTCTCACTAAAGTGCAGTTAGGGGAGAGAAGGCCTGTTGTAAGGCCATCTCATGGTATAAAAAAACTCATTTAATTTATAACTACACTTGAAAAACCCCTTAATTAGTACCCAAGAAATACAGTACATATGATATTGCATGTGCACAGTCCTGTAAAGATCCATAAGAACTGAGGCTAACGCCTATCTGTTCCATCTCAGAACTACTTCACTCTGAAAGTCCGTTCAGGAGAATGGCAGATGGATTTGCAACTGTTGCTGAACCCCTCCCCCATAATCCCACAGTGATTACCTGTAACTAAACCACCAGTATGTGTAACTATTATTATTCCTGACTCCTTTATCTTACCAAACCCTCTACACCGTAAATGTTCTCTTTGTTACAAAAGCATGATTTAAGGAGTTTAAGTGTCTACTACGTCAGGCTAGAAGGGCAGCACGTAGTTGCATTCCCACCTGTGACACTTTCAGCAGCCTTTTGGATGGGAAGATTACCTCTGCACAGTCAGTCCTCATAGTTTGTAAAGATTTAATAAGGAACATAGAGCAATGTTAATTCCATTCCCTTTACCTGTTTCCTCCATTAAGTCTGTCTTAACCTTTCCTTTAACTCAGAGATACTTCAAACAATTCTTAACTAAAGATAAGTATGTCAGGAAAAAGTGTCAAATCAAAATTAACTATATATCTCTCATTACCTGCACAAATTTGGGTGGAAATTTTTGTCTAAGGTCTACAAGCAACGCATCCACACGTTGTCTCTGAAAAATAGAGCTTGGTTCTTCTTTCCTTTTGGCTTTGGGTTTGACTTTATCTATTAAAATATTAAATCCAAATGAAAACATTGCCTAGTTTTGCGTCTTAAATTTTACAAATCTTTACCCACCAGGAACATATTCAAAACTTCATTTTTTCAAACAGTTGCTATGCCAAAGACAATTTCCCAGCAAGCTAACCATAATATATATGTTCTAACTCTCCTTAAATGAAGTTAATTTCTAACATTTAAAAAGTTGATATATGTGTCTCAAAGATATTTTAGTTTCAGTATATAAGCATAGTTAGAGGTAAGTTTCAAAGCTAACCTTCTTCATAATTACCTAAATCACAATCTTGATTATTGGTTTGAAATTACCTTTTGTATATTTTAAGCGAATTAAATGCTTTTTGTTTCCAAAAAACGAACTAGGAACAAATGGAAAATGCAAGCTTCACAAACTCAAGTTACCATGCTCAATTATTAAGACTAAAATTTACACATACACACACAAAATGACTTTCTCGTTAAGTGAGAAAGAAAAGAACCCGAAACAGCAATGATTCACATGTGGCACTTCCCCTGGCAGTGACAGTGTACTGGGAAACTGTCTCTAAATTAAGGGTTCCAAACAAGCATCAATGCATTTCACTGGGGTAGGGAAAACAGCTGTTGGGGCCATTTTTATTCAACTAAGGCAAACTTCCCTACATCAGATGTTGCTGCCTAGACCTACTATGTAAGAGTAAATTTAACTAGAACACATTCATAGGTCTGAATGCTATATAAAGTCTACTTTCCCTCACTAATTTATTACGAGCTGTTATTTCTCAGAGAAGGAAATGCAAACTACAGATATAATATTATCAACACATTTCTGGAGGTATTTCTGTTGGTAAAACATGGTGAAGAAATGAGCAAATTAGCAGCCATGGAAACTAGGGGACCCAGCACCATGGCAGATTATAACACAGAAAGATCAGAAAAGAGACTAGTCAGCTGGAGATATGGCTCAGAGAACAACAATTCCTCTTCCCTACTTAGAAAAATGTAGGGATAGACAGTCCCAAAATCCAAGATAGGTAAGTAGGAAACATCATCTTTGCTCATTCTTCATCCTTGTTTTTCTTCCTTATGTTCCAAATATTTTAAAACCTTGAATCACCTTAAGAAAGATTACCAGTTACCTAACAGATTAAACTTTTATCTGTTCCTATGTAAGAACAATTATTACATCTAGTTACATGAATCACAGCTGCAACATCACCATCCTACAAAAAAGTAAAACTCACCTAGGATACATAAATACCCATTTTCTCAAGAAAACAGCTTTATTCCTAGAGGATTAAAGGTGTTTCAGGAGGCTCGATGTGTTCTACCTACCTTGCTCTTCATGATCTTTGAAGTGCCACCAATACCCTTTGGAAGGATGGTATCGACAATATGACATAGCTTCGTCAAAAGCTGACTGGATGCCATGTACTGCAGTAAGCTTGTGAAAAAGAGAACAAATTCTAAATTTCTCATTAGGTCACCCAGTATTTCCAAAGTAAATACTTCCAAGATACTACATTTGCAAAGACAGTGATTTCTTATTTTTTAGAATCTGAATTACCATTTTACTGGGTCTTTGGTATATCTGTCCCACAGCCAAGCCCCTGCAAGTATCAAACTCTAAAGACATTGAGATCCCTTATATAAAGCTCATAATGGGGAGAAGAACTCCTGTTTGACTCTTAGAAGTTGTTCAATTAAGTTTACTTCAGTGTTTAAAGAGTGTGAAGACACTTACCACTCTGGAGTTTATAACTGATCCCAAGTCTGGTGCCTGATAGATAACTCCAGCAATGATATAATAATCAGCTAGTGGGATAACTAGAGAGGGGAAAAAAAGTTTATGAATACTGCTATGGACCCAAACTGCTAAACAGATTCTCATAAAAAGAACTAATGCTGCACTGGAAAACACATACACTCACTCACATTTGCATGTTATTTAAGGCTGCTTTGGCAACAGCTGAGTAGCTATTACAGAGACTTAAGAGTCCCAAAAAGCCTAAAATCTTTACTCTCTGGCCCATCACAGAATAAGTGCCAATTGTTGCCTTACAGCAGTACTTCTAAAATTTCAAAGTACATCCGATCACTTTAAACCACTTTAAGATACAAATGGATTTTGCTAAAAATAGGTTCTTCTTCAGCAGCAATAATGCATTTCTAACAAGCTCCCAAGCTATGCCAATATTGTTATCAGTCAATCACACTTTGAGAAATAAGACCTTACAGCAAAACAGATTTGGGATCCAGGGTGAGTATACCAGATACACTGAACCTGCCTCTGTGCCACAGTGCTGAGTCCTAAGGAATAAGACGGCTGCTAGTGAGCCCAGTGCCATACAGCCTCTATACCTTGAACCCTCCCACCATGGAAATCATGTCCTTGGTCTTGTCTTTATTCTAAGTTTCTCTTTTTCTCTAAATCTTCCATCATGAAACTAAACTTGGATTCTGGGACCAGTTTCTTTGGTAAGTCATTCTCTGAAACCAATACCGGGGTAAGCGCTGCTCCTAAGTATCTCGCTGAGGGTGCTGCAACTAGGATGACACTACCTGGCTTCTCTGCGTTGACTCTTCTCTTCAGGATGATTTTGTCCATGGTCTTGACTGATTCTAAGATTCAAGTTCTACTTATCTCTAGAGTAAGTGTGTACCTCTTGAATACAAAACCAAATCTGGATTCCATACTCATCAGTGTGCTACGTCTCAAGTAAGTTTTCATTTAGTAGTATAACCAGGTAAGACTTTTGATTGAATGTGTCAAAAAGGATACTCAAATGATCCTCTGAATTTGATATAACTCTATCTGCCTAGTATTTTGTAACAGAATCAACTTAGCAGACTGAGATAAGAACAAAAGTTACTTGGGATGCTTGAGGCTCAAGTGGAACCCCAACAGCTATGCTCACAATAAGAGACGGCTTTGGTGCAGTGAGTTACCCTGTTAATGCTTGCAAAGTTTTGTTTGGGCACTGTGGAAAAGTCCTGGAGTACAAGTGTACAGCTGCTAAAACTTGACTTTTGGCTGGCGCTGTGGCGCACTAGGTTAATCCTCCGCCTGCGGCACCAGCATCCCAAATGGGCACTGGGTTCTAGTCCCGGGTGCTCCTCTTCCAGTCCAGCTCTCTGCTTTGGCCTGGGAAGGCAGTGGAGGATGGCACAGGTGCTTGGGCCCCTGTACCAACATGGGAGACCATAAGGAGGCACCTGGCTTTGGCCGTTGCGGCCATTTGGGGAGTGAACCAATGGAAGGAAGACCTTTCTCTCTGTCTCTCTCTATATCTGTAACTCTGTCAAATAAATAAATAAAAATCTTTAAAAAAATGGCTTTTGAAACACTTCCTAAGTGATAGCTATGCCTAGTATACCAACCTGCCCAAACTGTACAAAGCACGTAATTACTGTAGACTCCTTTTTTTTTTTCAGGGAGTCTAGAATTCTGGTGGGCTCAGGAGGCCTTCATAATCAGTCCTCAATAAAAATCCTCAACTCAGAGTCTCAAACAGAGACTTACAAGACACAGAGCAGACATTTTACATGTGGCTGCATTTCACTGCTGAACAGAGGGCATGTTCAATGTGGCTCTTCACAAAAGTAGGAAATCTGCACACAGATTCCTAAAGACCACACTTGGTCAGTCCTTTTCTATTATTCACCAGGCTGTGTTTCCTTACTGTACAGCTGTTAACTATTCTTAGCCGCTGACTACAACTGTGAGCTGGGCGAATCCTCCCAGCAAAGTCATGAATATGTATGTGGTCTTAGGAATCCACAAAACAGAATCCATCTCCCTAAAACAAGAACTTATAGGGCATGAAGTAAACAAAGCACGACAGTTTATGAAGATAATAATGCCCAAAGTTTACATATCTTACCTTGAGTTGGGGACTGCCGCTGTTGCTTCCTAATGATAAAAAGAATGGGTTCTTGGGCATGTAAAAGAATGTATTCAACTCCAACCATCTGACTGAGACAGAACACAGAAACCAACAGATCTATGCACGCCTACAAACAATTTTATATGCCATTCAAATTACTGTATAAAAGTGTAACACTTCGAGTAGGATTAAAACTGCGTATGTTTTGTGTTAAAACTTGTCTATTGAATAAAATGGGCTATTTTCCCAGGCAAAAATGTACACAAAGAGTAAGATTTATTTTTTGTTTTTGTTTTTTTGGACAGGTAGAGTGGACAGTGAGAGAGACAGAGAGAAAGGTCTTCCTTTTGCCATTGGTTCACCCTCCAATGGCTGCCATTGCCAGCGTGCTGCAGCCGGCACACCGCGCTGATCCAATGGCAGAAGCCAGGTGCTTCTCCTGGTCTCCCATGGGGTGCAGGGCCCAAGCACTTGGGCCATCCTCCACTGCACTCCCTGGCCACAGCAGAGAGCTGGCCTGGAAGAGGGGCAACCGGGACAGAATCCGGCGCCCCAACCGGGACTAAAACCCGGTGTGCCGGCAGAGGATTAGCCCACTGAGCCGCGGCGCCAGACAAGATTTGGTTTTTAGACATCAAAATATTCATCATGAACTTAAATCTGAGTATTTTTAGTCACAAAAGTACAAAAAGGCAAAGTACCACGATGCTTCCTAACCAAGATCGACAAATACACATAAGTAATCAAAAAATGAAGATTCAACTACAAATTCTACCCAACCTCAAAACATCAAAAAATCTTATCTTTGCTCCCCAAAATATTTTGACCTGATGAACTGTTTAAAGGAAACAGTAAGTTGTCTTAATAGCTGCTCTCGACCTCATAACAAAAGCCATTTAAGCCACCACTGAGCAGCCAACACTGTGGCACAGGGAATTAAGCTGCCACTTATGGTGCTGAAATCCCTTACTGGAGTGCCAGTTTGATTCCGTTATATTTTAAATGGACATTATGAAGCTATTCAAAAAAAGACTGATAAGACCCAAATATTAATAACTCTCTTGCAAATAAAAATTCTTCCAAACCCAAACAAAATTCCAATTTTTCTTCCTCAAGCTTTACTCAGCACTAAATGATCCACAGCTTTAAATAACCATTCAGTGCAAATTCTGCAGTTGGCAAAGATGCTACCTCTTTAAAATAACTTACTTTAAGTGTTCTAATGTTAGTCTCTGCATTTTGACCACTTCATTATTACATGTTCTGTCATAGAAAGGGTTACTTCTTTCTGAAAAGTAATCCAGGACACTTCCACTGTTCAAAATGGGGATCCAAGAGCTGTCAACCCAAGAGATTCCCAGCAGATTATCTATAGGAAAGAAAGAAAACAATAAATTATTAGAAAAAAAGAAAGAATATAATCCAACAAATATTTATTATGCATCCAATGTAGTAGCATTATAAATCAGGATGACACTGATCCTTGTCTACATACTCTCACTGACTAACTGAAAAGAGAAGTATGCCAAGAAAGCAATGACAACACTACACAACTGCTACATAAAGCCAGGGGTAAATGTGTTCTCAGAGCACAGAGGAGGAAACAGAATACTCTGCCTTGGGGACCGTAAATGATTTCTCAAGGACTGAGGAGGAAAGTTTTAGCAATGCATGTTAAAGAAGAGAGAGAGGAACGCATACACAGAGGTATGAACATATGAAGTATACTACACATTTAAAGAATAATTTGAGGGGCCGGCGCTGTGGTGTAGCAGGTAAAGCTGCAGTGCAATGCCGGCATCCCAATCAGCACCGGTTCTAGTCCTGGCTGCTCTTCTTCTGACCCAGCTCTCTGCTATGGCCTGGGCAAACAGTAGATGATGGCCCAAATGCTTGGGACCCCATACCCACATGGTAGACCCAGAAGAAGCTCCTGGCTCCTGGCTTCAAATCAGCACAGCTCTGGCTGTTGTGGCCAATTGGGGAGTGAACCAGAGGATGGAAAACCTCTCTCTCTCTCTCTCTCTCTCTCTCTCTGTGTGTGTGTGTGTGTGTGTGTGTGTAACTTTGACTTTCAAATAAATAAATAAATTTAAAAAAAAAAAACAATAATTTGACTGGGGGCAGGCATTTGGCACAGAGGTTAAGATACCTCTTGGGATGCCCACATCCCATACTGTAGTGCCTGGGTTCCAGTCCTAGCTCTGCTTCCAATCCTACTTCCTGCTAATACACACCCTGGGATGTCAGCAGATGATGGTTCAACAACTTGGGCCCCTGCCACCCACATCAGAAATCTGGATGGAGTTCCAGCCTCCTGGCTTCAGTCTGGCCTTGTGCTGGCTATTGCATGCATTTGGGAAGTGAACCAGGGGATGAAAGATCCCTCTCTGTCTCTGTGATTAAGTAAAGAACTCTTAAGCTTTGAAATCTAAATAGTTTTTTTAGAAATTGCAAAGCATGAGTTTTCATATACTGGAAACTAATTCAAAATGTTCAAACAGCATGCATAACAAAGAAAACATTCATAGCTACCAATTTGATATCATTAAGAGGCACAGAAATATGCTGGGAAGCCATTTACCATAAATGAGACTGATGAAAACCTAAACAGTTTAGTTTAATTGCATACATACTTTATTATATTAGAGAATTATATCTCGAACTAAAAAGAAAACATGAAAAACAGAGTTAGATACCTTTAAAAAAAGACTTTATTTATTCAAAAGGTAGAGTGATAGAGAGAGAGAGATAGAGACAGAGATACTCCACCCACTGGTTGACTTCCCAAATGACTACAACAGCCAGGGCTGGGCCAGGCCTAAGCCAGAAGCCTGGAACTCCATCTGGTTTCCCACATGAGTGGCTGGGGGTACTTGCACTGTTTTCCCAAGCTTATCAGCAGGAAGTTGGACCAGAGGTGGTGCATCTGGGACTCGAACCCGCACTCCCACAAGAAATGTCGTTGTCACAGGTAGCAGCTTAATTTGTGCCATAATGCTGGCTCTTAGATACCTATTTATTTATTTATTTTATTTAAAAGGCAGAGTTACAGAGAGGCAAAGGCAAAGAGAGAGAAGTCTTCTATCACTGGTTCACTCCCTAAATGGCAGCAATAGCCAGAGCTGGGCTGATCCAAAACCAGGAGCCAGGAGCTTCTTCCGGGTCTCCCATGCGGGTAAAGCGGCACAAGGACTTGGACCATCTTCTATTGCTTTCCCAAGCCATAGCAAAGAGCTAGATCAGAAGTGGAGGAGCCGAGACTCAAACCAGCGCCCATATGGGATGCTGGCACCACAGGCAGCAGCTTCACCTGCTATGTCACAGAGCTGCCCCCTCCCAGACATCTTTAATTAATAAGTTTTTATTGGCTACTGACTGTGATGATGTTTCAGAACACTGTATTTACTAAACTGTACTATGTGTAAGTTAAAATATCTATATAACTGCTTGAAAAACTTCAATCTCTCTTATACTACAAATACTTGGGCAGCTATTGTGGGGAGCAGCTCGGACTAGACTGTTACTGGAATTAAGACTTATTCTATGCATCTGCTCTCCCACAATATGGCGCTGGGAGAGAAGTAAACAGCTTCCGCACAGCTGCCTCCAGTTCAACCAATTAACTGTAGGACTTGCTCCTGATTGGAGGAGAGCGGCGTGCTCGGCGTGTGGGCAGCCGAGTTGGGATTGGTGGAGAGGACTATATAGGAGGAGAGAGACGGCATGCACCGGGAACATCTATGGGGAACATCTAAGGGAACCCGTGCAGCCCCCAAGAAAGCCGGCCGGCGGTGTGCCGCTCCCCTGCGGAAGTGGGGAATGCGGCCAGGGGGAACTGCCCTTCCACGGAGGTGGAAGGGATAGTAGCCAACCCGGGAAGAACCAGCAGCAAACCCGGGGAGGGCCGAGCAGACGAAAGAACAGCGCAGGGTCCTGTGTCGTTCCTCCACGAAGAGGGGGAGCGACAGCTATGAGAAGTCAAACCTAATTCAAAGAGACAAGCAGTTTTGAGATGAATGAATCAAAAGGCAAAAAGTAATAATATAAAGGTAAAATGTGTTTTGTATGTTATAAAGGATAAGATAGATAAAGTGATGATGATCAAAATAATTCACAGACTGTTTAGACAGATCATCATAAATGGATTATGCCACAATCAAAAATATGAGAGAACTACAAAAAGTTCTCAGAAAATGAAATTAAAAGATAATGCACATTTTTCCATGAACTTTTTAAAGTACTCTTGTACAGCAGATCAGGAAATAATGTTTTCAAACAAAAAGTAACTACAGACAATCACTCTCAGCTTTAAATACTATTATCCAATTATTAATATAGTTTTATCTAGAGTAAAAGTACTTACATATCTTTTATTTCCTTAGGAATGGATATATAAAAGCATTTCATAGAAACTATGAGGACACTTCAAAAAGCTCATGGAAAGCAGAATTAAAAGTTAAGTTTATTTTGGTGCAAAAAACCTTGAAGTCCATGCACAATTTTTCATAACACACATTTTCATGAGCTTTCTGAAGGCTCTTCATATGCATGCCTTCCAAATTTTCATGAACCAAAATAAATTTACCTTTTAGTTCCATTTTCCATGAATTTTTAATTACCTTGTATGCCTATATTGTGTCAAAATCAGTCACTGATGATAGGATTATAATATTACAGATCAGCTCAGCATTGGTAGAATATTCTACTGAGACAAATAGTTAATTATAGATGCTATTTATCAACAATTATGGAAAGTCACTAAATACAGGAATGAAGTGATGAGCTGTAGAAGGCAATAGCAGTACACAGAGACAAGGAGATAAAAAACATTTTTCAAGGGGAAAGAAAGACAATTTCCTTAAGGGCCAGTCATAAACTCAGAGAACAATTCATTTTAGAAAGTAATGATAATGAATTTGGCTTGGATATTCTGAGTTTAAATATGGAATACAGCTCCCCAAATCAGAAGGAATCATAAATGTCAACTGTCCAAAGTGATTGTTAATGAGTTCTCCCTCTAGTTTTCCTCACCAAGCTATTTTAATTTTCACAAATTTCTTGATCAGCAGTTTTATCAGATGAATTATTTCTTTTAGTAAACCACTCAAAGAAGAAAACAAGGATAAGTATAACATGAAATCAGTGCAAAGGGAGGTCCTACCTTTATAACTTTTGAACCCTGAATGTATACCTGGCCCTGTTCTAACCTCCTTACTACACAATAACTCAAGAGTCTGGCAGTATTCATACAATTTTACATTTTAAGAACCTGAAGCCTGAGGCTAAGTAGCTTGTCTAAGATCGCCTAGCTGCTAAACGGTGGTGCTGAGATTTGAATCCAGGCAAGCTGAGGGTGTATAGCCCACACTCCTCTGCTGCCTCAAAATGACAACAGATACTAAAGTAACATTAAGAGCTATGAGATGGGCCGGCGCCGCGGCTCACTAGGCTAATCCTCCGCCTAGCGGCACCGGCACCCCAGGTTCTAGTCCCAGTCGGGGCACCGGATTCTGTCCCGGTTGCCCCTCTTCCAGGCCAGCTCTCTGCTGTGGCCCGGGAGTGCAGTGGAGGATGGCCCAAGTGCTTGGGTCCTGCACCCCATGGGAGACCAGGAGAAGCACCTGGCTCCTGGCTCCTGCCATCGGATCAGTGCGGTGCGCCGGCCGCAGCGCGCCGGCCGCGGCGGCCATTGGAGGGTGAACCAACGGCAAAGGAAGACCTTTCTCTCTGTCTCTCTCTCTCTGTCCACTCTGCCTGTCAAAAAAAAAAAAAAAAAAAAAAAAAGCTGTGAGATGAACAGTGATTTTTCCACTCACTATGTTCACTATGTGTTGAATTCTTTATTTAGTGGACGGTTAAGCTTGAGATTACAAAGTAAATTGAAAGTGTATCTTTGTAAAATACTAAAAGAAAGGAAAGGAAGGAAGAAGGATGGTAGGAGCGGGGGAGGGGGGTGGGGTAGAGTGTGAACTATCCTCTTAAAATTATATATATGAAACACATGAAATTTGTTCCTTTTATATGAATTTTAAGTGTTTAAAAAGAACTATGAGAGGCGTGGGCATTGTACATTGTACATGTGTGCATTGCGCAGGTTAAACCACCACCTGGGATGCCCACATCACACGCTGGAGCACCTCAGATTTAGCAGCACCTCCACTTCCAAGCTAGCCTCCTGCAGATGCACGTGGCAGGCAGCAGCTGATGGTCCAAGTAATTGGGTCCCTGTCACCCATGTAGGTGACCCGGACGGAGGGGCGGGGGGGAGAAGCACACTCAGAATTGGGTGTTTGACGGAAGGCGTTCCGGATTCAAAAACAAAACTTGCAATAGATCTTAGGGATTTACGCCCAGGGATCCGTGGGGTGTGATCTCAAGAATAAACCGCCTCTTTATCAAGTGCTAAGGGGTGAATCAAATCGTCTCCTTAATCCTTCTCCTCTCTGCCCAAAAGCCATTCTCTCACATCTAAATAAGCCCAATGTTGCTGCAAGGATATGTGTGCACGGCAATGCTCTAGGTCTGGGGCACAAACCCCAGAGCTTTTTCCAAACCTTTCGCTACGACGCTTTTAAAAAACTCCGAAACCGGCAAGAGTCGGCAACTTTCCCCAGATTACAGCCTCAGGCTGTCCACACAAACCATTTAGAAAAGATTGCGAGACCTCACAAAAGAATTGGAACCTTGCCTCCCTCCGTAAGTTATAAATCACCAGACCAATTCGTAGGAAACCAGAAAACAAAGAATAACAATATACGCTACCTCTGATGTCCACCGCCGCCATCGTTCTTAACCACCCCCGGGTTCCTCTTCCGGCGCAGAGTAAACGTAATGACTAGGGCGACGGAAGCGGCTGGTTGAAGATAGTACGGATGGTGAGGAGGGACAAAAACTACGGAAGACGGGGGTGGAGCTTGGAAGAGCGGACAGGAAGAGACATGAAAAGGAGATGGGCGTGACCCAAAGGTGAGAGAGGGGCGGGGCGGGGGATGCAAAGGCTGCTGCGAGGAACAGGCTGAGGCTGGGGAGGCACCCCAGAGCCCGAGAAGAGCCAAAGGGGGG